GATATTATAGCTTCAAAAGATTCGCTAAAAAAAAAAAGAAAAAAAAAGGGGAAAAAAAACGTGGTCTCTGTATAATATCGAAATCAATTGCTCGAATGCATGCAAATGAGAAAGAGAGAGAGAGAGAGATGGAGAGAGAGAGAGAGAAAGAGGGATTGAGAGAGAGAGAGAGAGAGGGAGAGAACAGATGTTTGCGCGAAACAAAAATTGATTTCAACACTCCCATACCCAATCCCTATCGTTTTTGGTATTTGAATAAGACCACATTGGAAAATTGTTCCCTTTAAAAGAAAATTATTTTCAATTGTATTCATTTGTTCATGCACCCTTTAAGCGTGCTTCCTAAAAATCTCAACGATTACTATCGAATTAGACGTTATCAATCTATGTAACCTTTCAACTTGCCAATCAATAGTAATTTACAGTGAAATACAACAAGAATTTTCGAATTGGAGGTTACCCAAATATACGTTTACATATACATACATACATATGTCAGCCATTAAATGTGTCGCGAATAGGGAAAATTAAATAATTCGATGGAAGAGACAGAAACAATATATGAGAGAAAGAGAGAGAGAGAGAGAGAAATGTATGTACGCATATATATACATATATATATATATATATATATATATATATATATATATATATATATGTAACGAACGGAGTACGTTATTAAACATGATTTTCCGATTGATCAGCCAGTAACCTTTTGACCCGTTACGAACTGAATAATTAAATTTCCTTTCCCCTCTTACTATTCGTACGATATTCACGTTAAATCGACATTAGAAACATATTCTAAAGACACGAGGGAAATGGCAAAGTACATACATACATAAATACATACATACATACATACATACATATATATATATATATATATATATATATATATATATGTATGTATGTACGTAAAAAGAAAAAAATATCGAACTTATCGTCAGGATTTCTTATCGAGTTCCTACTTTTCGAAAGAATGAGAGAGAGAGAGAGAGAGAGAGAGAGAGAGAGAGAAAGAAATCTCGAGAAAAAGTGACAAGTCAGAACTAACGTATGTAACCCTTATCGAGTTTAACATATCGCGCGATAAAATCTTCCAATATTTTGCGAAGCTTCTACTTCACACCGCCCTCTTCTTCCCGCACCCTCTTTCTTTCTTTATCTGTTCTTTTTCTTTTTTCTTTTTTTTTTCTCCCTATCAATCGTCGAGGCAACCCGATTTTAGGAATTTGCACGAGTACGATTCCAAAAAGGAAATTTTTCAAATTCCTGAGAATCATTTCGACGTAACTGTTGACGTCATTCGTTTCGAAAGTTAATGGGTCTCTCTCTCTCTCTCTCTCTCTCTCTTTCTTTCTCTTTGATGTTTTATTTCACGGGAAGAATGTAAATTTCACGTGGTTAGAGAGATTCCTATTTCAGGTTGAACTTCGAACTCTGTTTTACACTAGTCGTTTCGAGAGAGCTTACTCACGCTTTAACGTTCTTCTTTTTTCGACGCTTTGAAATAGGATTGACAAAATACATCTAACGTAGTAAATGGACTTTTTTTCTCTTCGTCTTCTTCTTTTCCCTTTTCTTCCTTTTTGTTTTTCTCTCTCTTATCATTGTATTACAACAACAATAACAATAACAACAACAACAACAACGACGACGACGACAACGACAACAACAATAACGATAGAAAGACTACTAAAAGAGAAAAAGAGTTAATGAATACATTTATGCATTAATTTCACAAGAAATCAATTTCTTTCCTTGTTATCTATTATCTGATTGATAGATCGCATGTAATTACGTCGAGTCGAGTCGAGTCGAGCCTACATATATTAACTTATCGGATCATCGTATCGATCGAATCCGATTAACATCCTTTATGCTTTTCATACTCGACAAGAAAGTTTCGACAATTTTTTTCTTTTCTTCATTCGTGATTAATGGTGTAACGACGAGAGAAAAAGAAAAATAATTTTACAAAGGAACAATTAATAAACCAACCTTAATCATTGTAATCAAATTCATAACTTTTGTTTTTCTCTTTTTCTGTTCCTGAACCTCTCTCTCTCTCTCTCTCTCTCTCTCTCTCTCTCTCTCTCTCTCTCTCTCTATCTTCATATCATACGAATTGAGATTAATCGATGGCAGGAGAGTGGTGGAATTCATGTAGGAACACCGATGATAATCCTGACATTTCACCGAGCAGAACGAAATTAATTATTCCATCCATTAACGCACGGCCGATGACCGACTTCCGAGTTCGCGGAATAATTTCGCACGACGATTTTGACCGCGTCCGCATTTCAATCGCACGATGGGTGCGAAATGTCAGAGAGGAAACGTTTCGTTTTCGATTTTCGCGAAATTTTACTTTGAAAATCCCTTTAAGACTTTTCTCTCTTTCTCTATATTTTTCTATCTATCTATCTCTCTATCTATCTATTTATCTATCTATCTATCTATATCCATATATATATATATATATATATATATATAT